AAAAATCCTCATAAACACTAAATACAGTTTATTATCTAAAACATTTTTTTTCATGAATGCACTGTAATTTTTCAGTCCTACCTTAGAGTTTTTAAGGCGAAGTACGGACAGGCCCAATGAAGATTTCTGGTTTCCAATGCAAAGCTATAAACATTCAAAAGGCTAAAAACCCCCCACTCTACACATCAATGCCTGCCCGTGATTTGACTTGGAACACCAACCCCAACTGTACTTTGAGCCTAAAATTTCTCGCCTTGGACTGAATCATCATTCTCCCGAGTTTTTAGAGTTCTGGTAAAAAAAGTGTCCCTTCTACGAGCATAAACAAAAGTATTTTTGTCTATATTGCTAGGATGTGGAAAGGATAAAAGCACTTGCTGGTTCAATTATACCCCAAAACCAGAAGCTACAAAAACCAGCAAAACCATTAATACGGATGGTTCAATTAGAAAACTGGTAAACCAGTCCTTGTTTTAGAAAATCGGCTGTTTTTTGAATTTTTTTTAACTTAAATCCAAACCGTTGGGGGCCATAATTAACTTTGCATTTGATTGTTTGATTGGGGTGATTTTTTTTTTAGGCAACTTTTCCCCATGTACCACTATTTTTTTTTTCAAAGAAAACACCCTTTTAGGCATTAAATCTTAATTTTTAATATAAAAAATTGAAATTAAAATAAAAATATATATTTTATAGCAAAATAAAATTATATATTTTGAATGTATATAATTAATATATACATGTCATCACGATTCAACCCAATTTGGCCCTAGTTAAACCTCTAACTCATTAATCTCTCCCTTTTCTGGGTCCATGCCTGATTCAGTTCTCTGAACATTGAACAAAAGTGAGCACTTTCATTTCTCATTGTGTGTTAGTGGAATCCAGATTTGCTCCTCACAAAGTGCACCTCACACCCTCATAGTGCTTTCAGCTGGCGTGCATTGAGAGCATCTCCTATACTTGATTTTATTATTCATGGGAGGGTGTTCCCAAAACACGACTATGATGTGTTGTGAGGAGCACTCTTGTGAGGTGGAAAATTAACTGATCCCAAATTACAAGAAATCAGCTTCAATGCTCACACCATTCATACAGTCCCTTGCAGTCTTCCTTGAGGAATTTTTCTCCATAAAAAATACATATATACAAATACAGAGGTATTCTCAATACACGGCTGTACAAGGCTGTAAAAATGGTGTAAACCATGGTTTTTAAAATTGAACCGGTGATTGAATTGGTCAAAGGTCCGGTTATCGGTTCGAACGGTTCAACCGTTTGCTAATCGTTCGAACAGTTAACCAATCGGTGACCAAAATTAATGTTTTTGGGGAAAAAAACGATTTTAACGGAAAACAGAACTGATCAAATAACCGATTCCTGGTTTTTCCGATCCGGTCCGGTCCAGTTTTGAAAACCATGGTGTAAACAGTCTCGTGAGCATTGAAGCCGATCTCAAATTATGAAGCAATATGTTTTAGTATTTCACCAAGACACGGGGGAGGTATAAGTGATTTGGCCTTGAATTTATATAGAGTTACAGTTGTACAAATTGTTCTGAATTATACAGTTGGCAAATTTATATTTTGAATTCATTGGTGAGCTGGCGATGCTGAGGCAGTATGATGGACAAGAATCATACAGATAATATATCACTAGCACAGGCCAACTCAAACCTAACCCAAAAGAATGGGAACAAAGGTTGGAAAGGCCATTCTGACAAGATTGAGCTGGGTACTTCTGTTGGTTACTTGGTTAGAAGCCTTGGACAAAAACCAATCGGTCCAATCCAGCCCAGACTTGATGTATTAAGAGAGAGAGAGATGGTGTTTGGTGGGTCCAGTTCAAGAGTATAGTGGAGTGAGTACCTCAGAATCCATGGTTATGTATGTGGGGTTGGTTTGGCCACTATACAGGGATGTCAAAGGATCGGGTTTGGTGGGTCCAATTCAGAGTATAAGTGGGGTGGGTATCCAGAATCCATAGTTTTATTATGTGGCTCAAATGGTGTTGGCCATTGGAATGTCAACAGATCGGTTTCACTACAAGTTTGGTTCAACGTAAACCTCACCCAACCCGACTAAAAAAAGGGATATGAGATTGAGACCCATCCGAACCACCTCACAAAGGGTACACCTCGGCCTAATTGAAGCTCTATGGGCAAGTGTTCAATGTCATATTGAAGACGGGTCAATGGAATTCACATCGTCTGTTCCCTTGGTACAGAAAATTTTCTGTACCAATTGGACACATTAGACTGTTTTCCCACTTTAAAATTAAAGTGATTTTATTAAATGATGTAAAAGATTGCTATTGGTCCGGTAAAAAAAAAAAAAATCTATACCAAGGGAAAAGAACCCGACTAAGGCTGTTGGAATCAATCCAGGTTTACCATTTAATCTGAGCTATTGACATCCCCATTCATTCATTTAGGGCAATTAAGGCTGCATTTTGAATTTCTGGACTTATCTCATTTTTAACTGTAAAAAGGAGACAAGTCTTTAAAATAAGGAATGCCAGATGCAGTCTAAATCGGGTCAAGTTAGGTTGGGTTGGGGTAAATCTAAATCCAATCCAATCTGTTGAACCCCCTAATTCAACTTGAAAACTTCAGGTTATATATATATAGATATATAACCTAAAAGCTTCAGGTTGTATCAATGTTTTAAAAAATGATTCAAAACAGGAATTGTTCTGTCCACCGGTTTTTAAGTTGATGGTCTAATCGTCTAATTTGAACAGATGGCTTATTTTGATAAAAAATAAAAAAATAACTAAAAACCATTAAATGAATTGAACCAATCGATAATTCAATTCTCTGAATCAATAAATCATTGACTAATTCAATGTTTATTTTTTGGTGAAGAATCATAAAACGAAACTGATTGCATGAACAATTCCGAGGCCAAACATTCTGACCGTCTCAATCAACCGCGATTCGAAATCACTGGATTATACCATATTTGGGTTGCGTTTGTATCGGATTTGGATTGGCTAAACTTTTCTATTCGCTTTTGCCAAGTGTTCAATTTCCTAAACTCAATGGTTGAGGTCAATTAATTTAATTTTAACATTATTCTATTTGCCACACTTAAGTTTATTGAAATAACTTAACTTTTTAACCAAAGTTAAGTCAATCTTAACCTAATCCAAAATTCAAGCAAAATGAGCAATCTAATCCAACCTGACTTTGTCGAGTTGATCCGGTTCAAATATTGGTTCAATCAAATTAAACTTATCCAACCCATAATAAGATTGACCACCGGTCCAATCATTAAAGCAACGCAACAGCATTTACAGGAAAAGGAAAAGGAGGGAGAAAGAATCTTATCCTCTTCAGCTGGTGACATGAAAAGATATTTCAAAAGACAAAAAGTGGAAATAAATAGCACTCTGTCCCACGTGCGAGCACGTGTACGGCCACGATTGATTGTACTGCCACTCACCACGTGGGAAAGCCGAAATCCAGCAGTGCCCCCCCTCCTCCGTTCGTTTTCTCTTCCTCTCTCTGAGGCGGGAAACAAGGGCAAAAAAATAATAAAATAAAAATATTATAATTTGACTTGGGACCTAAATTCTTCATTCCTTCCGGCGTGGCCCACACAACCAATAAAAATGAAACACGTTTCACACTGCAAACTGGGAACCAGACGATGAGAGAAAAGCGCGTGTGAATGCGAGGAGCAGATAAAGCCAGAGGAAGAATTAAAAGTAATAAAACAAAAGTATTAACTATTAGCTCCGTGATCCTGGAGGTGGCGCAGCTGCAGCATCCTGACCGTTCATCTCTGGCTCCTGGCAGGAGCCCGTTGCCTCGTCTCATGTCGTTTCCTGAAAGAGAAAGAACATTAAAAAGGAACAGAAAGGTCAAAATGACAAAACTCTCCCTTTTTGGCCCCGAGAATTACGGAACGCCACGGAAATCGAAAACTGCCAGAATCAAATGACGAAAATGACCCCTCCACCGTTGCAGACTTGCAGTCCAACTCCAACTCCGTATCCCTTATTTATTTTCTCCTTTTTCTTAAATAATACGGGAAGCAAATTTACGAATTTACCCCCCGAATATGTCATCGTAAGTAATTAATAAAAAGAATAAAAGAAAATATCCCGATCCAACGGCTTGTGAATATATGTCAGTCACAATGGATTTATACGAGAATGGCGGTTTTAGTAACAGCTGTACGAATTTTCCATGTCAGCCTCTCCCACATGTGACAAGCTGGAGGCCAGAAGCCCAAGACCACATGGCCCCAATAGAGGGTGGAGCCCCCAACTGGTCCAACTAATTTTATTTAATTTAAAAAGATTTAAAATTGAAAGCTAGTGGCGGTGCAAAGAAAGGTCCAATGGATGGTGGGGCATATAGAATTAGGGCACCAAACATGTGGCCCGGACAGTTTGTGTTGGGCCATTAGAAAGAGACCCATCTAAACAACCATTTTTCTTTTCTGGGTGGTTCTAGGGCTAACCTGGTCCAGAGAATCATTGTTGGGGCCCAGCCCCAAATCTGAGCTGCTCAATTCATGCATTCAGATTCGAATCTGCCTCTTTTGTGTGGCCTAGCTGCTACGTTCTGGCCCTAAACCTAGAGGGCTTAGGTTTCTTGGTCGGCGACTTGGGCCTCCCCCCCAAAGGGGTCAATTTAATGTAGGGCCCACAGCTTGTGGGGTATTAAGTTTGACATTAGATTGGAATCCACTTAACAATTAAAACCATGGCCCACCTGTGCTGTCATGTCCCAGTGAACCAATCCACTACTGAAAAGATCCTCTCATAGGTGGGGCCCTTATTAAATCATAGCCCTTTATGAACAGCTACCCTAATTTAGCATCTCTGCAAGGACATAACTGCCCATTTACCATGATGAATTGAGATCCACAATATTGTCACGATCAGAGGCAATTTAGTCATTGATCATTTAAAATATTATTTTCTCTTTTTATGTTTTATTATAATGGAGAGAGAGAGAGGGAGGATACTGGATACGAAGGGAAACTGGTAAAAACAGTTGGTCCATTCTCATACAAACCGCCACGTGTCGCAAAAACAGAGGGTTTGTCTAAGAATCATACAAAGTGGTGGTCCTCAGCCATTTCCCAAAATAATTAACGAGGAAATGATTAAATATTAAAAATGTAAAGTCATCTTTTTTTGACTGCACAAGTCAAACGAGTCAAATAAATAAATATATTCACCCAGGAAATAGCAACTCAGGGGTCAACTCAACTGATTTACAGCACGACTCAGCGAGTCACAACTCGAAAACTCGTGTCCTGCAACAGTTTGTCATCTCCAATGCAATCAGGGAGGTGGGAATCAGATATCTTAGTCAGAAGAAACAACACAAAGACGTGGTAATCAGGGTCTTGCACTTTTAAAGTTTAAAACTTCAAAGGACAAGCATGTTTTTCTAAATTTGGAAAGGAGAGAGACACAGCAAACGCCAGATTCCTTTTGCTTTGGTTGTATGTTTTCTTCCTTCCTTCTCTCTTTCCTCTCAGACATTGAAACAGCCAACCAGGAGCAAACCCTAATCCATTAAACAATGAATATAATATTTTGGAGAAATAACGGCCTTAAAAAGCAATCAATACAGGGTGTGTTGCCGCTGGCTCTTCCTGCTCCATTGCAATGATGCAGTGTGGAGGAACATTGTTTAAGTGAGTTTTGTTTATGGGTTTCCTTTCAGCCTTTCAGGTAGAACAGATTTGCATGAAGAATGAAATCAAACATGCCCAACAAAGATGGGTTTTTGTTTCTTTATTTGGATAAACGAAGCAAGATAGAATTATAGTTGAAGCAGAAGAAGAAGGATATATGTTAATATCAAGCTCTGCAGACACTAGGATAAGTGTGTTGAGGTTTTGAAGACCACAAGAACAAACAGCTATATAGAATAGCCAAATTAAGTAGACCCAACTTTCTGCTCAGGGATTCAAACAGTGACATGGGAAAAAAAATATGAAAAGCAACCTAGTTAGAGGAAGATCAGAGGAGGTTGTTTCATGAGAAGGGAAGACAGAAATCAGAAAGGAAGAACAAGAAGAAATCTAGCAGATATGAAATATGAAACGAAAAGAAAAGAAAGAAAAGAGGAGCTACTGGGTTTTTTGTTGTTGTTTTCTCTTTCCCATACAAACAAAGAATTATTACTACACGAACAAATATCTATACAAATGTCTATCTCTATGTCTATCTGTTCTCCATTGGTCCCTTTGGACCAAACATATAAGATTTCAAACTCACATCAAATCTATGAGGGGAAAACCAAAAAGCCAAGAGAAAAAATTAAATTAAAAAAAGCAAAAGGAGATGTTGGAAACTGGGGAATGGAATGTCTGCTTGGATCATCGACTGGATTTAAAGCACTCAACTCAATTCAAACCGAACTCCTGCATCTCAACAACAAAACCAACAATCTTGATTGCCTGCTATGAAAGAGAAAAAAAGGAAATGAAGGAGGAGAGAGAGAGAGAGGGAGTGAGAAGGAGATGACTGTTAAAAACCTCATGATCAACAGTCAAGATATTGGAGAGAGGAAGATAGGAACGAGAGCAACTACCTTGGGTTTATTATTGAGAACTGTTTGGGTTTTCATCTCCACTGTCAGTCCCTTGAGGTTGTTGGGGATGGACTTGTTGGTGATGATCCATTGACTGATGCTGCTCTGAGTTCATACTCAGTCCACCACCTCCTCTATTGTAGGCATTAAGAGCTGCTAACATGCCCAGGTTAGTCTCGGAGACACCAAGGCCGAGATGCTGAGAAGCGCCGGCAGCTGAAGGTTGTTGCAATAGCATTGACCCAAGCGGGAGCGCACCCACTCGTCCGCCCTGGAATTCTATCCCACCGGAAAGGTTAATTCTAGGCATGAAATGTAGAGGCGCTTGGAGGGTGTTCCCGCTTGCAGTCGGTATTGTTGTTGCCCGATACTGTCCTCCCGCTGCAGGGAAAGTCCACAGCGAGGGTTCTGAAGGCCCAGGGCCAACACCAGCCGCGGCAACCCCTGTTGGGACGGTAGAGCCGGCTGTAACAGGTAGCATCCAGAATGCACCGCCGGCGCTACTTGGTGCCGGTGCCATTGCCCACATTGCCGTTGCAGGCATCATGTTTGAAGGCCGAATTAGGCCAGCTGCAGCTGCTGCTGCAGCAGATGCAACGCTCCCACCACCGGGTTCTCCAGTTCTCAAGGGTTTACTAGCTGAAGGAGAAGAGGCATCACCGGCTTCCTGCTGCGGTTGTGATTCTTCCTTGAAGAGATCTTCTCTGAAGCGTTTCCTCGAATAGTTATCACCAGCGTCTCCACCTGAGCCACCGCCGGCACCACTACCACCACCAGGCAATGCTTCTCCAATCTGATCTGCAGTTAAAAGATGGGAATGATGCGGATGGTGGAACCCTAGCATAGCAGTATGCGAGATCCCCGAGTCACCACCACCGAGCAGCCTCCGAGCGGGTTCACCCGACTCGTCATAGTGATGAGGGTGGTGGGCAAGTGCTAAAGCACCATGAAAAGAATGAGGAGCAGACTTCGACGCCGGGGCGGAAAGGCTCGAGCCGCTGCTCCGAAGAGACACGTTGAGGGTCGAGAAATTGGCAGGGATAGTACCGGTTCCTGTAGCAGCAATTATCGCAGGCTCCGCTTGCTGAAGCAACCACTCGATGGTCTCACCGTCCGACTTGTGACCCAATTCTCTCGTCAACTGAAAAACCCTAGCCGCGCAAGTCGCCGGCATACGGATGCGCCGCCCTCGACCGTCGACCTTCGTGTGCCTATCTTTGGACGACCGTTTCGTCGTGGTCGTCGTCGTCGTCGCAATTGTCAGTTGTTGCTGCTGCTTCTTGGAAGGATCCACGAGCTGCCCAGATCGAGAAGCGTCGGACTTGGTGGAGATAGCGAGAGAAGCATCCACTAGTTGGGGCGGAGTGGTGGTAGTACTGGTAGTACTAGTAGAGTTAGGCGAGCTTCCACCACCAGCTCCACCTCCTCCACTCCCAGCTCCAGCTTGGATAGAGATGGAGCCCATGAATGGGCCTGGACCGGGGCCGGGGCCGGGACCTGGTCCTGATCGGCTCTCGAAAGGGACTAGTTGCAAAGGAGAAGACTGTTGTTGTTGCTGCTGCTGCTGCTGTTGTTTACTGCCTTGAGACTGGGTTGTTGATTCCATCTCTTGCCTTCCTCAACAATTCTTCCTTGTGAACGCAGTTCTTCTTTTGCCCTCTTTCTGCCTTTGGCTGATTATTCTCCCCATCTCCCCATCTCATTATCTATCTGCCTTTTCTTCGAGAGAGAAAGGGAGAGAGCTACAAGGCTACAGAAGCTTTGGATTAATGAGCTGTTTTGGATTTTGGTCTGGACACGTGCAGGTGAGGAGCTAACTAGGTGTTCTTCTTGCTTCTGATTGATTGACTATTGTCTCTCCCCATCTCTCTCAGAGAGAGGAGAGAGAAACCAACTGGGTTTGGAGAGAGAGAGAGAAAGGAAAGTGTGAAGGTGGAGGTGGGTGAGGAGAGATGAAAGGGGGGGCGTAGGTTTACAAGCTACAAAGCTTTTTCTTTTCTGCTGTTTGTTTATTTTTCTTTTATTTCTGGGGTTGTTTTAATTTTTAGGTCCAACTGGTGGGGACTGGGAAAGTAGCAGTAGCCCACTCGTGGGGCCTCGTAAGGAATGTTAAATGGACTTTGATAAAACCAGGAAAAGAAAGAAAGGCAAAAAAGAAAAAGACTGAAAATTTAACCACTGAACAAGTCTTCTTACAGTTTTGCTTCTCTTTCCACCTTTTATCTCTTTTCCTCCTCTCTATCTCTCACAGGTCTCTTTCCCTCTTGTTGATAATGATGATGACGCTAATCAAGTCCAACCACCTCTCTCTCTCTCTCTTTCTCTCTTTCTCTCTCTCCTTCTCCCTCCTTCTTTCTCATCTCTCATTCATTGTGTGCAGTAGGATAGCAAAAGGAGACATCAGGTTTGCAGTTGAGGACAAAACAAAGTGCAGAAAACAAGCCCTTAATGTAGCTGTGCTTGTGCTGATCAATAATATAATGTTCTTGTGCTTCTGGGTATAATTCAAACTTATAAAATTCACCACCTACAGTCTACAGTACCACTTCTCTCTACTCCTTGCTTTTACAAAACCTCCTCTTTCCTTTCTTTCATGTAACTATTAACTCTTTCTCTCTCTCTCATCCTCTTACCTCCAAAACCCTAATAAAACTCTTTATATATATAGAGAGAGAGAGATGTTTGTTGAGGGTGAGAACTGAGAATGGCTATGGTAAATTTGGAGCTGGAAGGAGTTAAAGGCGACACCCAGACAGCACAGATAAGCGTCAGATAAGCATCTAATGCAGGAGGACAGCTCATCCCAACACAAACCTATCTTACTATTCTTTTTCCTTTTATAATTTAAAACAATAAAGAACAGTTCAATACTCATCAGCCAGTCAACTCCACCTTGCCCCACTTTCTCTCTCCATAGTTTTCTAGCAAATTAATACTAAAAAAAACCTCTTAATCAATTCAAAATCCCTCCCAATCCCAACCTACATCTTCTTCATCCCTATCACCTGAATATATTATTTAAAAAAAAAAGGTGGTTTTGGCCAATTCCCACCACCTCCTCCAGCCTCCAGCCATAACTGACCTCTCCCCCGAGTCACCTACCCTCCTCCTCTTGCCATATCCGCCAATGCTGAAGTTTCAACACGTCCAAGTTCCAATATTTTGCATTATTATTCCTGTTAATTTTATTTGAAATTCACTGCTGTGTGCTGTGTGCTGTCTGCTGGCCAAAGACAGTACAATTACTGTTCTTGCATCAGTCTCTTTGTTGGGTTCTCCATATTGGGATTCTTTGATAAAGACTCCTCCCATGCCCTTTTCCTCTTCAATCCCATCTCAACCAACAAAATTAATCAAATTCTCAAATCCACCAACAAAAGAGAAAACAAAACTCTGAATTACCCATTAAAAAACCTTACCAATGATTCAACTTTGGTTCTCACCTCTGTCCCCATTTACTTTCCTTTCACTTTCTCCCTCTTCTCATCATTCTCTCTTTTTATTTTTTTGATACTTAATAATAATAATAAAGGCTGCAATGAACCGGTCTTTACTGAAATCCTAGCTTCAGTTCTCTTAAACACAGAGAGAAAGAAGAGGAGAGAGATAGGAGAGAGAGAGTAAAAAATGTAGGGAAACAAAAGAAGAAAAAGTACTGAGAGGTGGGTGTCGTTTCTTTCTTACATGTACGTTGAAGGCATTATTTATGACTACAGTTTTAACAGGTTAGAAATGGAAAGTTATTGGGCAGCTCCTCCAATTTATGGCGGGAAGGGAGAGTGTACGGGTTGAATGGGGTTGGGGGTAAATATGGGTCAGGGGGAGGGTCAAAAATGGTAAACGAAAGGACGTCAGGTGGAAGTGGTGGAGAGTCTAGTGCTGGTGGTGGTGGGGTGAGGTAATGATTACGGGGAATTTAGTATCAGTTTTAGCACGCACATGCCAATCACGTGCTGCCCTGCTGCACAGATTTGGTAAGTTTGGAATTTTGGATTACAGCGGGAAATAAAAAAAACAAAACATGAACTTCTCTCCTCTCGGACTCAAATTCCACTGATCTGCCCTCCCTATCTTATGTGTGATTTTTACTATTTGGGGAAAGGATTTCCTGGACGGATCGTGTAGATTAGCACAGTGCTATGCAGCAATCCCTTCTTTTAGCCACGTGGAGGGACGGTGTATGCAGCCTGGACTCTTAGGCCATCTAAGAGATGAGTTTGAATTGCCGCGTGTATGATTCTGTCCATGTCAGCTCTATGCCCCACCCACATTGAAATGAAGAATCAAAAAATCTTGATTCAACAATGGACCCCACGTGAGTGACTGGAGGATTTGTCTTTTATCTCGTTTGATTGGCATTTACTTGAAGCCCGTAGCCCACTTTGGTTTATGTCACATATGTGGAGGTTCCAATTCTACTATTTGTTTGCTTCATGGTTTTCAAAATCCGACCAGACCGGACGGTCGGACCTGTTCTGCTTTACCCTAAAATCAGTTTTGGTCAAAAATCATTGATTTGGTCAGTGAATTACTGATTCGAACAGTTGAATTATTGAACCATCGATTTGGACATCAATTTTTTTTTATTTTTTAAGTTAGGACAGGTTATCTATTTGAACCGGACAATCCAACTGTTTGACAAGGAACTGGTCCCTAGAATGGTTCCCCGTCTCGTTCAATTTTAAAAACCTTGGTTTGTTTTACCAAATACAATTCTGATGGTGTTTGGTTCTCTAGCCGTTTATTTGAAAAACGGTGTCAAGTTGTCGTCATGTAAGTGAAAGAATGGTAGGATCCATCTAATGGACGCCATAAAGGTTGCGGAATGGGTGGGGCGAATTTCAAAAAATTTCCTACCTTCTCCCAACTGGGAATCATATTCCCTGAATTTAGAATACAATATTCAAGGATCTACTTGAACCCTAATCAAACCAGATCTGTACCAAAAGATAAATGGGAGGATT